AATTTGGTTAATGATTGATTGATCATTATTTGGATATAATTCAACAAACACACTTACCTCTACTTCTCCACTAAGGACAGCTGGGGTACTTGTGCTAGGTAATGCTAATGACCTTCTAACCGGTTTTTTGATAACTGGATTGGCAACTGGCTGCATACATGTATTGCTTATGTCAGAAAATGGCAATATTTTTACAGGTTCTACATAATTTATAGGTACAAGAAGACCAACATTTCTCTTTGCTGGGTCTTGCGAAACACCAGGGCTTCTGAGCATTCGTTTGGAAACGACTGTTCGCGATTGCATTAGTACAGTTTCTTGAATTTTTCTCACTGATTGTATAAGTCTACCTTTCAGATCGGTTGCTTCTTTTTCTAATTTATAAAGTTTTTCAACTGATCGGTAACATTTCTGGCAAATGCCTGTATCGGGGTTGACAGCATGTATGTCGAAGGATAGCACATTTTTAATGAACTCCTTTCTTTCTTTGGTTAGTTTCAACTTCTTATCGAAAAACTTTGTAGTAACATTTTTTCCATTGGTGTCTCTATACGTCTGTACAAAGGAAAAACCACACAGAACGCATATATTATCCAAACTACACGTTTTAACAGGTGTCCGAGCTGCATTCATGGGCGCAGCCATTTTGTTTTTCGCAATGTATTGTGGGATATAAAACACACCCGACGAGCTATGTCAGACGCTATTTGATTGGCTAGTTAAAAGGTCGTTCGGACGTGACCCTCTATGGAGTTACTTCAGATCCTTTTGTGTAGCGATCTACGGGAGCGGATCAAAGGATCTGATTTTAATCAGATTGATAAATCAAAAACACAAGAGAAAAAGATGTTATAGATATGTTAACTACAAACACTCCTTCAGATTCTACAGATGACAAAGAATCGGTTATCAATGAGTTAAATGCTGACTGACGTTTTTCATACTAATTGTAAGTCCATTAATTATACACTGAATTGACGGCGGATTTTCCTTATTTCCCGATCATGACGAGGAGCACACGGCGGGTGTGACCGGCTGGGGATGCTCACTCCTCCATGGCACCTGATCCCACCTCTGATGTTTTAGAGGTCCGTGTTTGCTCTTCTCCTGTTTTGTATTGTTTTATAGACTTTGATATTAAATACAGTTCGTTATTTCCATATCCTTCATTGCTTTTCCTCTGGGCTCGGGGAAGTCTTCGGAAAGAAAAACCAGAAGTCTCTGTCGAGACTGAAGCTCTACTGGTTTGTACTTATAGCAAAGGAAGAGAAAAGTTCTTAAGCAGTTGCGAATTGAAACTTTACCACAGCAATAAAAAGAATAATGATCCTTGATTAAGTCCCTTTATGTTCTTAGTGTAGTCTACTTGCATGTCACATTATATTATAATCAGACTTAAACTGTATTTGGAGTAGCATTTTGAGAATTTTTAACAAAAATTTCTCATTTTAGTTACCACGGCAACATCGATCATTGAAATCAAAAACGGATAAACAGAATTATGTACCTTAGTGTAGTTTACTTGTGTGCCAAGTTATATTGAAATCAGACCAAAACTGTAGGAGGAGTAGCATTTTGAAAGAAATTCACAGAAATTTCTATTTTTAGTGACTACAGCAACACCATTCATCGAAATCAAAAACGGATATACAGAGTTATGTATCTTAGTGTAGTCTACTTGTGTGCCAAGTTATATTGAAATCAGACCAAAACTGTAGAAGGAGTAGCATTTTGAAAGAATTTCACAGAAATTTCTATTTTTAGTAACGACGGCAACACCATTCATCGAAATCAAAAACCGATACACAGAATTATGTATCTTAGTATAGTCTACTTGTGTGCCAAGTTATATTGAAATCAGACCAAAACTGTAGAAGGAGTAGCAATTTGAAAGAATTTCACAGAAATTTCTATTTTTAGTAACAACGGCAACACCGTTCATCGAAATCAAAAACGGATACACAGAAATATGTATCTTAGTGCAGTCTACTTATGTGTTAAGTTATATTGAAATCAGACCAAAACTGTAGGAGGAGTAGCATTTTGAAATAATTTCACAGAAATTTCTATTTTTAGTAACAACAGCAACACTGTTCATCGAAATCAAAAATGAATATACAGAAATATGTATCTTAGTGTAGTCTACTTATGTGCCAAGATATATTGAAATCAGACCAAAACTGTTGGAGGAGTAGCATTTTGAAAGAATTTCACAGAAATTTCTATTTTTAGTAACAACAGCAACACCGTTCATCGAAATCAAAAACCGATACACAGAATTATGTATCTTAGTGTAGTCTACTTGTGTGCCAAGTTATATTGAAATCAGACCAAAACTGTAGGAGGAGTAGCATTTTGAATAATTGTTTACAGACAGACGGACAGACAGACAGACAGACGGACATACGGACGGACGACGGACGCATTACTATCGCATAAGCTCTTCTGGTCTCTGACCAGTAGAGCTAAAAATCGTAAAAGATCATGCAAAGGCTTACAGGGAAATAAAGAAATTAAGAGACAAATTGAGGAAAGAAAAGAACATTGAAAAGTACAGAAAACGTTTGCTTAGAGAAAAGGCAAAATACGCTAGAAATGCATTAGACTCACCGAGAACAAGAACTGAAAAATTACTCTAGAGGTCAAAGCATTTCTAAAGAAACTAGGAGACTTATTGTTCACAGAACAATAAGAGGTCTTTCGACCTTCTTTGAATTTTAAATTTGTTTTATACCTGACTCCTAAAAATTAAATTCCTTGAAAAAGAAACCAAAACTCTCTTAAAGCATAGAAAAAATGAAAATTTAAAAAAAAAAAAGAATGATCTTGACCTTTGACCTTGAAAAAATATTCAAGGTCAAAGGTCAAGGGTCACAATGCAGTTGCCCCCATGCTTCTATGACTTATAGTTTTCAAGTTATAAGGTTTAATAGTAAGTACAAAGAAGTTAAAGGGCAACAACTCATTGAAGGGGTCATCAGATCCATTTGCACTTATACAGTGATGTAAGGCCTAAAGACCCTTCAGATATTAGTGAAGGTTTGGTGTCTCTACAGTCTACGGTTTCGGAGGAGTAGCAATAACAAGGTTTTCTGCACAAGGGGCAATAACTTTTAAAAGGGTTAATATTAGGGGACAAGAGTGAATTCTTTGAAACAGTTTTAAAAGTACATATTAATGATGCATAGACATTAAGTATATGTTAAAAGACAACAGAGATATAAAAAGAGCTAAATTTTCCATTTTTGGAATGACCTTGACCTTTGACCTTTACATGAATTTGAAGTTCAAAGGTCAATGAATCTTATGCTGTTGATCCCATGACTCTACGACTTTTCGTTTTGAAAATTTTTAATTATTTGTAATATTCAAAAAGTTTCAGGGGCAATAACTCATTGAAGGGGTCACCGAATGCTTTCGCAATGAATAGATTGAAGAGTCCCCATAATTAGGCAAAGCCATTGGTGAAGGTTTCATACCTTTACGGTTTACGGTTTCAGAGGAGTAGCGATAACAAGGGTTTTTAGCACAAGGGGCAACAACTTTTAAAAGGGTCAATCTTAGGGGCCAAGATTTATATCTTCTAAAGAGTTTCAAAAGTACATATTAAAGACATAAAATAGATCGTATATGTTTAAGGACATAAAAGCTATTAAGAGAAATTTATTTCTCATATTTGGAATGACCTTGACCTTTGGCCTTGAAATGAATTTGAAGGCAAAAGGTCATTGAATGTTATGCAGTTTGTTTCATGTCTCTACGACTTTTCGTTTTGAAAATTTTTAATTTTTTGTAAAATTTATAAACTTTCAGGGGCAGTTACTCATTGAAGGGGTCAAAGAAAACTTTCGCAATGAATAGATTGAAAAGTCTCCTAAATTAGTTGAAGACATTGGTGAAATTTTTATATCTCTACGGTTTACGGTTTCTGAGGAGTAGCGATAACAAGCATTTCTTGCAAAAGGGGTAATAACTCTGAAAGGGGTTCAGGTTCATTTACGCAGGGTCAACTGCAAAAATCTTTTACGGAGTACATTTTCAAGAAATAAAAATCTTTTCGATAAATCTTGAAACAAAAAATCACATGGCGGAAAAATAATAAAAAAGAAGAAACAGAAGGAAATCAATAGGTATTTCCACAGAAAGGTGGAAAGACCTAATAAAGCCTATGTTGAACTGCCATCATGCAATTAAAAAAGGACAAGGAAAAGTATGAACATGCGAGGAAAAGAAAAACCCAAAAGGCAATTGTCAACATTATATCTTCCGAGTTATTGTGCAAGTATAGACTTACGTCTGTTGCTGCTGCGGCAATCGGATACTCAAGAAAGAGAATCCTTACTGCAATGAGCACACAAATTTCAACATTCGGAACTAGAAGAATTCAAAGAATACAAACAGAAGTCAAAACCTTTTTGCAAAGGGATGACAACATCCGTTCCTCCGCCGGGCAGAAAATCAAAGTACTCAGAAGTACAGAAAGCTGGGCTCATTTACAGAATAGAATGAATTTCTTACATGAATCACGTTTATATTCTGGTGAAAAAAATTATTTTAAAACTATCAATATAAATGATGAGACAGTGACAGTGAGTTTTTCAATCCTAATACCACGGTCCGATTTTGTCATAATCAGAATTAATCTGGTACCGCAGCTGAATGTAAACAAACAGGCCAATCTTGTTCCCTCTCCTGCTTTACCTCGTATGGGTAGAGAACTACGCTAATGAACTATAATCTTTGACTTAGGACTGATGTTTTCAAAGTCATTACTACTAATGTTTATTTATATAGATAAAACTTCGTCTTATTTTTGTTGCTTTATTTAGCGTTTGTATTATCTCAAAAGCGGTTGAGAGTAAGAACTATATTTTTGCACGTCACTTTAAAATGGCGACTATGGGGGTTGACTTCCTGCCTTGAACAGGATGACATAAGCCGGCAATTGCTCTTTGAGCAATAAGCCCGGCTAAAAACAATCACCTAGGGCGGATTTCATTTGTCCGAGATCGGCGTACGCCGAAATGCGCCGGTCATATGACCGGCGTAAAACGGCGAATTTGCAAATCAAGTAAACCGGCGTAAAAAGTGTAAAAACAAAGATGGAGGAACTCGTTGACGGCGTTGTCGTTACAGCTGTTGTAACAATAGTTACAGATATTTTGAGCGATGATGAAGAAGATGATTATATTGAAACATCTTTTTTTGAGATATATGGGCTATCAACAGGGTGAGTGTTGTGATATATCAGTGAAATATTACAGTTAATCTATAGAAACATATAACTTATCGAATGTAAACAATGGAGGAAATTCGAGCATACAGGACTTTTTATGTTTGATTTTGATTATCATGATTATTCCTCTGTTTTCTTACCAGATAATGGCTATTTGTGCACATATGGGTCATATACTAAATGTGTGAATCTAGTATGCACATTTTTTTTCTTCATTTCAGATTTAGAGAAGATAGGATAAAATCTCTAGAGTATTTCGAATACACGATTCCGAGATACCTGCCGGATTCATTTAAGCAGTTCTTTAAAGTGTCCCATGAGACGTTAGAAGTACTTTGTGAATCATTATCTTAGTATCCAGGTGTATTGCCAGAGGCATATCCCAGGGGAAGAGAACACATACCATTGCAAAAAAAGTATTGATGACTGTCAGATACCTAGTTTCTCAAGAAACTGTAAAAGAATTAAGTGATAGGTTTGGTGTAACTGGACATAGCTTTTTACGATGCAAAAGACAAGTAATACAAACAATGTGTGATCACCTTCTATGCAAATTTATTACATGGCCAAAGCATGAAGAATTCAGAGATATATGTACAAGATTTGATGAGATGGGAAGGTATAACTTTCCAGATATACTTGGAGCAGTAGATGGGAGCCACATTCCAATTCAGTCTCCTATTCAAAACCCCAAATCTTATTTTAATCGGAAACAATTTCATTCTATTGTACTTCAAGGTGTTTGTATAGATGATCTTAGATTTATTGATGTGAATGTAGGATGGCCAGGTCGAGTCCATGACGCTAAGGTCCTCCGAAACTCATCATTATGGGAAGAAGGATTTCAAAACTGTGACAATGGGAACTACCACCTAGTTGGAGATGGAGCATACCCATTAAAAGAATGGCTTCTGACTCCATACAGAGATAATGGCCATCTCTCACAACAACAGACACAGTTTAACATGGCACTCTCATCAAAGCTACAAGTCATTGAGAGAGCATTCGGTTTGCTGAAAGGGAGATTCAGGACACTAAAGTTTATCAATATGAAATCGATCAAAGAGGTTTGTCAGACTGTTGTTGCTGCGTGTATTTTGCACAACGTATGTATCATTGAACATGACTTGTTGGAGGACTTAATAAATGAAAATGAACATGATGTTATTCTAGAAGAAAATGATGGAAATGCATTGTTAGAGAATGATGCACGCGGTCTACAAAAGAGAATCAACATTACAAATAGAATGTAATTTGGATTTGCATTATGTATTATGAGTATAATTCAAAAGAATTTTCTCTTTTGCTAGCTTATTGAGTAAAATTCATTTTTTGTGAATTTTTTTTTCTTCTGACAGAAGCTGTACTATAGCTCCCCCTTTTAATCGGAACTCTAAATTTGTGCATACTATATAGCAGTTGACATGGAAATTGTTATAATATAAAGATTATTTACTTATGGGAAAATAAACTCTTTGTTATATAAGTTAACTTTTACATCATTTATATTTTCAAATTTATTTCTAAAACTAAATGATACCCCCGCCTCCCATATAGTTATTATGGAAAAGTCCATGTTTTGCTGCAGCCAGAAATCCCAAAATATGTGCGGATCAAAAAGTAAAATAGGAGGTACACAATGGCAACATGTAATAAAGATTCTGTGAAAGTTTCATTAAATTTCTTTCAGTGGTATACGAGGAGTTGCGGATAAGAGATGGGTACCCCAAAGTGTAACAGACAGACGGATGGACGGATGTACAGACGGACGTATGGACATACCGATTACTATATACCCTCCCACTTTTTAAGCGGGGGGTATAATAAACACACAGTTATTATAGACTTAACATTTAATCAGGAAAAAATAACAAAACATTTATTCAGGAAAAAATAATAAAAGAATACAAATGTAACAAAAACAAGATAAATTGTAAATGCAACCCTGACATGTCTGCTATTGAGTCATCAAAATTAATTGAATGAGAAATATGTTGACATTGCATGAATGCCCACCCAAAGTACATCGTATTGTAAGAAGAAAAATACTTGCCAAAGGGAAAGGTAAAAAATAATTCCACAGTTTAACTCTCACCAATATTATTGTGTACTTCTGCATAAATTTTGGAAAATATATGCTGAATATCATTACAACTTATTTTGAAACTGTGTGAGGGACAGAAAGGAGGAAGGACAGAAGACAGACATGACAGGTTGGGTATAAAAATTGGCAAACACAACCACTTAATGAACAAATTCAAAAGTTATAAAACACTATCTGTGTTAGCAAATTTACATGGCACAATCTGTCAATTATCTTTTTGAGGTTCTATTTCTTAACCAGGTCTTTCAAAACTCCGACCAGGGAATTAATAGTGTTGATTTTCTCCTTGTGTCTCCTCTCAATTGCTTCCTCTTTCTTTTCAATGGCTTCTGTGAAAAATGTTTTCATGATGTCAACCGATCTTCTTGATTTCTTTTTTCCTTTCCCTGAAAAAATACACATAGTATACTGTACATTTTCACACAGTACAGGTATGAAGAAGAGCTTGTAATTTTCATGCTTGTAATTATTTGTATTAAAATGAAAACAGCTATAATAACGCTTAGCAAGGTTCTGCATACAAAAAAAGATGGACATCAATTTCAAAATACGTTCTACAATCTACAATACCTTTCTTAATGACAGGACAGTTGAGCGAGACTTACCTTCAGGTGCATCTGTATGGTCAGGAGTTGGAGACAGAGTTCTCTTCCTTTTACAATTATCAACGTCTGAACTTCCACACTGATCTGGGGATGGACGTTGACTTGCTTTTGACTCTAGCAGAAACACTGGATTCATGTCAGGCAACTTTTCAAATATTTCCCCCAACTCATCATCAGAATCAGCAGGGGATTCCCCTGATGTATTGTTTTTTCTTTTTGTTTCTTTCATATTTTTCTTTAATTGTTTTGATTTTTAATCTGCACTGTTTTGGTGAAAAGTCATAATTATTGGAATGCATGTCATCTGAAATTTTCTTCCACTTGTTTTTGATGGGAAGCTTTGATTCCTCAAGGTCCCTGTGTTTTGACAACAGTAACTTCTCTGCAGCTTGAGTCCACTTTGAAGCTTTTAAGAAAAAGGTACAATATATGAAGACGATAACATGCACAAACATATATTGTGAGTCTTTTTTTAAGATATCAGTTTGGAAGGTTTAGATATGACACTAAAGGCCCCCAAAAAATGATGCTTAGTTTTTCTTCCAGGAAACACCATACAAAACTTAACTATGAGAGTACATGGTGATCTTAAGCTTATCCACTCTAACCAAACCAGCCAATGACCAACCAGAACACTTCAATATTAGTTTTTTAACCACATGAAGATTCTTTTGATATATAGAATTCTGCTTTTGTGGGTAGAACTAAAAATTTTAATTAAAAGTTATTCAATTTATTTAAATACTATTTACTTTTTTCAGATGTTCCAGATGTTATTGCTCTGCTAGCGCTGGTACAGGGATTGTTCAATTCTTCTTTTCTCTTATCTTAAATGAAATAATGATAGACATTCTCACATAATTACACCTTTTTTTTGAACATCAAATATTTGCCATAATTGTTTCATTACATCAAATGCATGTTATAAAAAAACAACTACCTGGATCAAAAACATCAGATGTACTGTCCATGTCTAGGAATTCATTTCTGCTAACTAAAAATTATAAAATGTGAATTCTTATTGAAGACCTTGGAATAATATTGCAATAGGGTCATATCAATAAGGTAATCCTGAATTAATAATTGATGATTAATTTTTCATTGATAAACATTTTTAACATTAAAATTGGGTTTTATTTGATGGCTCTATCAAACTGGGAAAGTACCTGATTCAGGCAGTTTAGATGTTGAAGGGCTGCAGGTATTTTCTTGTTGATTTATACATATGTTTTGTAATAAGGAATCCTTTGTGTTTTGATCTGAAAAGTTAATTTATTTTTTATGTTTAAATAATTAATTTAAACATTATCTAATTATTCCCTATTTATTACATAATAGGACTTTTTTTATATATATATTTTATAAATCTTAGCAGGATAATAATTCAGTCATACAAAGCATACAAAATATTAAATTATATACAAACCAACTGTATCAGAGAAGAGAATATTTGCCATATTTTCAGTTACCGAGACTGTGTTTATTTGCCCATTTTTTCAACCTCAAGCGATATCCAGTTAGTGCTGAAAAGGATGAAATCATGTTCGTTATATACAAGAGCATGCATATAAAGTTATGAAAAATGATGTTACAGTAGGCGTTATGAATAATTTATATAACATGGCAAACATTTATACCTGTCCATTCTCTGCACATGTGTTGCATAGGATCTGATCTTCTTCCCACTGGGCAATGTCTTGATCATACCCTGCACAACTTGCATGGAATGCAAAATTGCAGGACTCACAGCGGAGGATTATTCTAGAAATACCAAATGATTTGAGATAAATGTTTTTATAACTCACTGTACAAAAATAAAACAATGAACATTAGATGTTTTAATTGTTCATAAACCATAACTCAATGTAGATATTACTTTGAAAAGAAAAATACTTACGGTCTGTTTTTATTACACGCCTGCAAAGAATAATTTAAATATATTACCTGTACTGACTATCGAGAACAAATTTTGATCTCTGAATCTCGAGTGAATTTAGGAATTCCTTATCAACACGTCTGCAAATGTAGCAGGTCCAATAAACGCTCCTCTCTTTATCAGCGTTACTTTTAGCGTTGCTAGACTGCCTAGAGTTCCTGCATAAATTATTACATCTAAAAGATGAATTAGATCTACTGTCAAATATGTAGAATTACAATATTACAATACAATTAAGTACCAAGAAATACAGTTTCTCCAAATATAAAAAAAAAATCAAAATAATTTTATCTGTCAGCATGCATTTATGCATTCTACATCCTCGATCTACTTTGTACGTAACGTATATGAGCAAAGTTCCGCAGTATAGAAGATTTAAACGTTATATTATAAAGATCCCAATGAACATTTGTTAAATGAACACTTTAAATCAATAAATATGCCCATCTTTAAACAAATATCAACATTTTTCATTTCATTCCATCAACTTACCGCAAGTTTTCCGCCATACTTAAAAAAACGGCGAATACCACGCCAGTCTCTCCAGACCGGCGCATTCGGCGTACGCCGGCGAACTTCCCCGGTCAAATGAAGTAACAAGCCGGGTTACGAAAGGTCAAGCGGCGCATTCGGCGTACGCCGGTATGACAAATGAAATCCTACCCCAGTGTAAGATAAAAAAGCAAACACGATTTCTTAATGACGATATGAAACACCTACATGCTAAATTCCTTAGTGAGAACCCAGAGAAGGGGATATCATATTCCCTTTTCTGCCGAGTTAGACAATTTAGGGTAGCAAAAGCAACAGAAAGGGATAGGCAGACTTGTTTGTGTATCAAGCATGAAAGTCTTCAATACTAGGCGGACAAATTGAGAGATCTTAAGTTATTAAGACATCAAACTTAAATTTGCTTGCAGAGATGATTTGCTGTGATTATAATTGCAAGACTTGCATGTGTAAAGAATGTCCAACATGCACAGAGACGGTAATTACTACAGAGATTAATGAACATGAGCAAGGAAAGCAGATTTAGTGGAAGAAATGGACAACACAAACGGTAGAGAATATTAAAGAAGAGGCCCATGGGCCTTATAGGTCACCTGAGCATCATGCAACAACTTTACAACGAATGACTTTGCTTCATGTTTTAAATTAGACATCATGGCATTCACAATTTTGAAAGAGGCATCATTGCTAATCATAACTATACACTTAGCATGTTTAGTTTGGTTTCTTAATATCCATAGACAGAGTAGGGGAACAAAAAAATGTATCTCAACTAATCGGTAATATTAAGCAATAATCAGTAGTACCACTACCACACATGAACCCCTGACCCTTGGTCCACACATTTCACAATTTTGGAAAAGGCACCATCTTTGATTAATAGAGGCACCATCTTTGATTAATAGAAAGGAGAAGATTTCAAGCAATTAATTTATTTTCAGTATATAAGTAGAGCCCCCCCCCCCTATGGTACCCTTGACCAAGGGGCATTGAAATTCACAATTCAGGAAGAATGGCCCTTGCTCATCATAGCTATATAGGTAGTTCATCTGCTTAATACCCAGGAGCAGAGAAGAAGATTTTCAAACAATATCTGCATTTTCTCTATTAAACCAATAGAGCCCCGCCCTAAACAACAGAACCCCTGACCCTGGGGTCATAAAATTCGCAAAGGCATTCTTTTTTATCATTACTATGTTCTTAGTTAGTTTATTTAATATCCAGGAACAGAGAAGAAAATTTTTAAATAAATAATGTATTTTCACTATATAATCAATAGAGCCCCACCCTAAGACCAGAACCCCTGACCCTGGGGCCATAAAGAATCACAATATTTGAAGAGACATTCTTGCTCATTATAACTATGTACTTAGTTAATTTATTTAATACTCAGGAGCAGAGAAGATTTTCAAAGAATTAATGTATTTTCACTATATAATCAATAGAGCCCCACCCTAACACCTGAACCACTGACCCTGCGGCCATAAAATTCACAATTTTGGAAGAAGCATTCTTGCTCATCATAACTATATAATTCGTTGAATACCCACTACCCAGCAGTAGAGAAGAATATTTTCAAACAATTTCTGCATTTTCTCTACATAATCAATAGAGCCCCCCCCCTCACACTATAACCCCTGACCCTGGGGCCATAAAATTAACAATTTTGCAAGAGGCATTCTTGCTCATCATAACTATATACTTTGTTTATTGAATACCCAGCAGCAGAAAAGAAGATTTTCAAACAAATTCTGCATTTTCTCTATATAATCAATAGAGCCCCGCCCTAACACTAGAACCCCTGACCCTGGGGCCATGGAATTCATAATTTTACAAAAGGCATTCTTCCTCATTATAACAATGTACTTGGTTAGTTTATTTAAGACACAGGAGCAGAGAAGAAGATTTTTAAAGAAATAATGTATTTTCACTATATAATCAATAGAGCCCCGCCCTAGCACTAAAACCCCTGACCCTGGGGCCGTGAAATTCACAATTTTGCAAAAGGCATTCTTCATAATAACTATGTACGTAGTTAGTTTATTAAATACCCAGGAGCAGAGAAGAAGACTTTAAAGAAATAATGCATTTTCACTATATAATCAATAGAGCCCCGCCCTAGCACTAGAACCCCTGACCCTGGGGCCATGAATTTCACAATTTTGGTAGAGGACTCAATGGTCATTACATTCATGCTAACAGTTTGACTGCTTGATGTCCAGGAGTAAAGAAGAAGATTTTTAAAGACTGCACTAATTTTAATGGTTTTGGCCCCACCCCTCAGGCCCCAGGGGGGCAGGGACCATGAAATTCACAATTTTTGTTCCCCTTCACCCATAGATGCTTTATGTAACATTTGATGGAAATTGGTTGAGTGGTTGCAGAGAAGAAGCTGAAAATGTTCAAATGTTAACACACGACGAATGACGCACGACGACGGACGAAAACAGATAGCAATAGGTCACCCGAGTTTACTCAGGTGACCTATAAAATACAAGGTGAAGAAATCAAATACACAATGTCAATAACTACAGGAGAAGAATAACAAGGTGCAACTGAGACACTTTGGGATTTCCATGCTTACCCTAAGAAAACCTGTCGCCATCTCTTCAGCATCAAACACCAGTAATCTGCTTTTCGGAATCTTGCAGAAAATATGGCAGATATTGAAGTCATTATTCATAATGACCTTTCGGAAAATTATTCCTGAAAATTTTACAAGGAGATTCAAAGTGTGCATTTTGGGCCGAACCAGACACAAATAACTTTTGCACACTGGCGTGATGTATTTTAATGGAAAATGTTCAACTTCATTTTGCACAGTTTCTTACTACAATAAACAATATGGGTTCATTTAAAACCTGTTCTCGCTCATGTAAAGGAGATGCGTTCTACCATTGACACTGTCTACTTCGTCAGCGACGGACCGACAACTCAATACAGGTGATAAGCGAACTTTTATCTACTATTCAACTCTCTTGACCTTGGGTTTAGGATGGGCAATTGGACATTCCTTGAAGCAGGACATGGTAAGGGTCCAGCATATGGGATCGAGGGTGCAGTCAAAAGGTCGGCTGATGCAGTGGTTGCACATGGTGGGAGCATTACGGATGTGAAAACAATGGTTTCTCCTTTGGAAAACAGTACAATAATCAAATTCTTCCCTGTAACAGAGGCAGAGGTGGAGGTTATTCAGAAGCAGATCCCACTAAACCTTGACATAGTGCCACAGACAATGAAACTTCACCAGGTTAGTAACCTTACTATGTTCAAAGATTACATGATTTGTACAGTAAGTGTATCAGTGCAAATTTCATAATCTCATTTTATTTTTATGTGTTCACTAACAGAAGACACAAAGTAGAAGTTCGTGTACTGATTAGCTTTTGCAGAAAAGCAAACATGTGCCCTTGCTTTGCACCTACTCCATTCACCTTTACCTATTAAGCTTCGACAACCTCTCCGACTACAGCAACTGAAAACTTTCCAAAAATCCATAGATGGCCATTTAGTGGGGAAATGATGTGTTGTTGTATATGATGATGTTCCATATCATGGTATAGTACAAAATGTTGACGATGATGATTTCGGAGAATAAGTAATGCACAAAATCGGAAATATTCGATACTTTTGCCAATGATACCAGATATATTGTAGTCCGAACATTAACAACTTCTTTGCGTAATGTGAACCAACAAAGGTTGATTCTAGGTATTATCAGCTTTCAAAGTGGTTAAAGTGATTGATTGTATAGTGTTTAACGTCCCTCACTTACGGCCTTTGAGCAGGGAGGGATCTTTATCGTGCCACACCTGCTGTGAATATTTCACTGATATGGAGACGTCACCATTGCCGGTGAAGGGATATTAAACACACTGCAAATTTAGGCCTATGCTTGTGTGCACTTACGGCCTTTGAGCAGGGAGGGATCAAGAAAATTGCAATCAAATCGTGCCACACCTGCTGTGACACGGGGCCTTATTTATGTTTATACGGTTGACATGCAACTTATTTATGGACACAACGCCATGCAACATTTGACAGTCGCCTTTTACGACAAGCAAGGGAGTACTGAGGACCTATTCTAACCCGGATCCCCACGGGGCTAAAGTGATTGAAAGTGATTGATGTGTAAATGATATTAAACACACAAATCAGAGAATTTATTCATATTCTGTTCAATATGCAAGTTTTAAATTTGGTTTGTATTTCATGTTCTTTAAATAAAACTTTTGCGTTTGAGTATCTGTTGGAAATGACTTTAAACAACGTACATTAATACATAATTGTGTATATACTGTCATTGCCGTAACGTCTTGTCATTACCGCAGATCGAAGTCATTACCGTAACACACACTAAAATTGAAATATATTTTTAAGTAATAAGAACTAACAATTTTTTTTTCTTATTTATGGAATTAGGCCAAAACTTAATGATGACGTTATGTTATCAGTCAGACCAAAAAAGTACAAAGACATAATGCACAAACTTAAGAGTTTAATATAACTTAACGTTATTTTTGCATACCATTAAAAATAATTGAATGACTCGGAATTTTCTAATTGTTTATGATTGCTTTAGATTCATTTTATAAAATATTTGTTGAAATAGATCATTTCCATGATTAATTGGATTTTTGTCATGGTAATGACATAAATCAACAAGCAAATTCAAGGAATTGTGGTCCCCCGCTTTCGGTGTCTTTGTGAGTGAATGTCATTTTTTATGACATATTGTGTGTAATATGAACACCCTATCATATGTCATTTATTTCGAAATCATCAATGAACGTAAAGGTCAAAGGGTTAAAGTTCTTGGTATCCAGTGAAAAGTCTTCTCACAAGGATTACATGTGTGAAGTTTGAACGCCCTAGCCCTTACCATTCAAAATGTATGGTCAAGGTTTAAGTTTTTTATAAGTACGAAAAATCTCCAAGGTCAAGGTCAAAAGGTCAAGGTTGTTGATATCAAGTGAAAGGTCTTGTCTTGCCACAAAGAATACATATGTGAAATATGTAAGTCCTAGTATCTACTGTTCAAAAGTTGTGGCCAAGGTCAAAGTTTTTGAAAAGTAGGTCAAACTCCAAGGTCAAGGGCTCAAAGTTCTTAGTATCTAATAAAATGTCTTCTCAAAAGAATCACACATA